ATAAAATCAATTTAATCTTTGGATTAAAACAATTAAAATTTTCGTTTCGTAACTCAGCAGTTTAAACTTGTGAAACGTCTTTGGAAACGTCTAAGATGCCAAGATGAAGTTTGCAAATTATTAGATTGTTTCTCCCTGCTTTGAAAATTGATATTTGTTTGACAACAGGGTGCTGTTTTTTATACGTTAATGGCGAGCCAGGTATGTTAACCTCCATGGCAGGATTTTGTCATGAAAACATGTGCTTGACATCAAAAGATTTCATCTTCATCTTCATCGACTTCAGAAAACTGACTTAAATCCCAATTGATTCGGAATATCATTCTGTTCATATAAACACCCCCTTGCATATACTCATTTTACAGATTTTATAGATAATTTAGAATTGTAGATTACCCCTGAGGTGCATACAGTCGCGTCAATTAGTATATAGGTTATATCTCACATAACCACTAACATAGATAATTATCGTTATAGCGCTTTGTATGTATGGTCTCAGTTATTAGGCAATTGGTAATTTGCCCGTGTTTAAGCCACGCCGAGCTTAAACTATTGAATTGAAAAGAACTGGAACGCTATCTTCTGATTATAAACTTGCCCAAATTTTTTTAATCAAAACTTTACCTCCAGACACGCGTGTTTAACCTATACATGCATGCAGATATATAACAGATACGTGTCCTACATCCAGACACGAGTGTAAATGTTGAGAGACTAAGAGAAATTCTCGCGAGGCTGTTTAGATTTGAATTTATTTTTTGTTTCAAGAGCTCAATTGAAGTACTTCATTCTCTAGTCTTGACCGAGGTTAAAACGACGTGGCAAATCCGCTATACGCTCTTGAAGAGTTTTTAGTGCTTTATAATGTTGACTATTTTAACAGACCGCGTTTTCCAATTGCACGATTTCAGTTAAGGATTTGGCTTCACGTTTCCAGTCGGATGAAGTGTTCCGGTTCATTTGAGTTCAATTGGCTTAAATTGTATTTTGTATTTTACGTAATCTTTGTAGAATTGTGAACCGGCCGTGTAGGTCAATGCTTTACGAAGCTGAGCAACTGAGTAAGACGATCAAATGGACACGTAAAAACTAAAAAGGAAATTTAATTTCTTAGAATAATAAATCGTTCGTAAATAGAGACAGTAAAATTAGAATAATAAACGTATATTCTTGTATTTTCATGTTTCAAAAATTTTGACTTATGGGGTCTATAGTGAACGAAAGATACACTGCATGGGTGCATGGTAAGCTAAAATAGCTTCAACAAAAAATGACCGAAGTAAATTAGTGAATGTTCACGACATAAAGAGGACACAATCATGTCATCTATGGAACTTTTATGAAATACTCCCTTTTAAAGGTTTTGAAAGTTTACAAAATGTGCCATCGATCAGACAGATAGACATGCACATGCATGGCGCAAACCTTTGGTACGGTGTAGCTAACGCTGCAGGTCCAATCTGGGAGTTTGTAATTGTAGAATAAAGATTCAAATCGTCTAAAACTTACTTTCGATCGCCGAATGGCAACAAAGAAATCCAATATCCGCTTCGACAACTGAAATATTTTTTATATTTTCGTCCGAGGGATTTCCATACGCGCGCTACGAAACGGCCTTTGCCATGGATCGCACGCTATTTGTAATACTAATTTTATATTACTAATATTATTGTAATTTAATGAATTTTTCATATTTTTTCATTGCTTTCTGCAGCGTCTCAGATAAATGTAAATTTAGTTTATATTTAATTTGGATGTATTAATATTATTCTAAAATGCGTTGAACCTTCCATGGGTTGATGGGTAAAGTTCTGCAATATTTCTAAGAAATTTACCACGAATAGTTGTTCTGGTACAATAGTACATGCACGCACTAATTTATTTCAACCAACGCTGGTTCTGCCACTGATGCCTGGCCTTTCTTTGTTTTGCTTCAACTCAGCCAATTGATTCGGTGATCTAAACATAAACTGAGGACACAAAATGTCATCGCTACCATGAGGGCAGATAAATAGAAGCCTGTGTTTTGAGGATAGTAATAGGAATAAGGAATTGGCGCCTCGAAATTAAATAGGATTTACTCTCCACATATTTAGTTAAATTGTCCACGATGAACCTGCCACGACCTATCGTGCTTTCAGCCTACTTTTTTTATTCTCCCTCGATCCTTTCTCCTCGATTCTTTGTCCTCGATCTTTTCTCCTCGATTCTTTCTCCTTGATCCTTTCTCCTCGACTACGTGACGACATAGATAATTGAATTAATGAAAACAATGTTTTGACGAAAAGGGCCAAAGGGCATAGTTCCATGAAAAAACTGGCCATGCCTGCATGTAAACATCACGTCCAGGACAACCACAAATGAGGAAATGGAATCCCTGACGGAACATCCGTTGCGGTTTGGAGAATTTTCAGGTGAATTCGTGACAGAATTACTTTTTGTGGTATTTAAAATTTGGCAAAAACAACCAGAGCGATTTTGTCTGTCACTCACATGCACGATCACTGAAAACACTGTTAGTTTCAGCAGGGTATCACTAAACGATGTATAATACACCGTTTTTCAAGTCAGTGATCCTCCAGAAATATTATTCTGGAATAGAATTGTAACACCGCGCATATACACAGGAGATCATTTCCTGCACGATGTAGTGCATTTACTGTAAGTGTAATAAATTTTTGTGTAGATTATACTAGCTAGAGAGATGGCTGTATAGAATGATATATCAAACCTGGGTATCCAATCTTTGAAGAACTTATATAGCATTATATGGTAGTATTTTATTTATTGTTCTTGGTAGATGAAAAATCGGACAGAATTTATCAGTAGGCTTTAACACCTAACCATACAGAAGCAAATGGGACTAAATTCAGCCGCAATTAACATTCCAACTATCATGAAAGACATGACTAAAAATCGTTCTCGAGCCGGATAGCGCTATCTAGCCTTCGTGCAACTGACTCACGAATAAATATAAATACGGGAACAAAATTGACGCCAAATTATGAAGAAAGTTGCTACGAATTTTGGAGTATTCGTGAGGCCGTCATCCAGGCTCTTGTATCACGTTAAACCGCAAGGATTAGCGGTGAGAAAGTTAGAGAAAAAATCGTTTTCAATTGATGTGATGACATACAAAGTCAGATTTCTTGCTTTCATCGTCAGGATTTCGTATGACACGTAATTTTGAGCCATGTCGACATGAACCTTGCACCATGATTGGACCTTGGCACAGAACAGAAAAATTTCTTCCCATTTTTTTCCGATTGCAATTGATTCATCAAAAATCGTGGACGGTAAACAGAAGCAATCAAATTCAAGAGTGTGTTGTTGGAAAACATCATATTTCATCATGAAGATGCTGGTTGTGTTGCTTTTCTTTCTCGCAAGTCTTGTCGCATCATACGGGCAAGAAGTGAAGAAATTAAGTGGAATCAACGCTTCAATCGTGTGCAGCAAGAATGAAAAGGTAAGTCCCCCAGAGTTCTCGGGAAAAGAACGTTCACTCAGATTATTTTTCCCAGCTCTCAATTATATAAGAGATATAGGTCATCCTAAAAGAATCCTTTGAACGCTTAACTCGCGCGGAGACTGTAAATTATATACAAATTATTATGTGGTGCATGCCATTGACAAATCCCCTGTTTATTACAGATTGTATATATTAATCATTGCTAATAATTGGAACAGTATATGCGTGCAATGATGAGCTATGCACAACCGATGCCAGTCAAAGTTTCGTTTGGTTAGAACCTATAAAAAATCGTTTGTTTGGTTTTAATTTTTGACACATAGACAACTTATCCTAGCTTGCATTATGTCATATCCAAATTCGTTTCTATCTTACCTAGATATTGGCAGGACTTACAATAATTCAAGGAGAAAAAGGAGAACAAGGATTGCCTGGATTGAAGGTTTGTCTTTATCATTTAAAGAGCAACATTTTTGTTTATTTTGGTGTTACATATTTTGTGCATGATTTCATCATAATTATTCAATCAGCATATGAAAAAACCCAACTCTTACGGAAATAAGAAATTTAGAGTTGCATAAAACAAAGCAGTCATCTTATACTCGACGTTAACCCCACTCTGATTGCTTTCTTGTAGGGTGAAAATGGAGAAATGCCAGCGCCCAGATATTCAAATAATATAGTATGTTGTATTTAGACTATATAGTCAATGTACGATTTCCTAATTCAAATCTTTCTCAGTATCTGTAAGAGCAAGCAATTTATATTATGACGTTAAATTTTGATTAACAAATGCTTTCTGTTTAAAAGCTAATATATGCTTTCTGTTTAAAAGATATATATATATATATATATATATATATATATATATATATATATATATATATATCTTTATACACCCATTTGCAAAAACGTTGGCCGCAGATAGATATATAGATAGATACTCGAAATCTAATTATAATTGCATATGTTGTGTAATATTATAGAAATCCCATGCAAATGTAATCATATGCAATTCTAATTAGACTTCGAGTATCCGATCTATCTATCTATCTGCGGCCAACGTTTTTGCAAATGGGTGTGTATATATATATATATATATATATATATATATATATATATATATATATATATATATATATATATATATGAAATTTTAGTGCTATTTTATTATTAGTGTAGCTCGAAGAAAAGTTTTTGTTCTTTTCCCGCGGCGCCAGTTTTTAGCTATAGCGCTATCTTTTTCACGTTCCTATATTCGATGCGCGGGACTCTTTCGCTTTCTATATCTTCTGCCTTTTGAGCGCCGTGTTTTCATATAATGCTATAGAAATTTGAAAGAAGCTAAAGTAATTTATATTATAAAATAACATGTATATAACGCGTGTTCTGATTGGTTGAAGCCCGTGTTTGGATCAGGCCATCCAAACACGGAAACCATTAAGTAATTGTATACTCAAAAGCACACATGATACACATCACTGGTAAGTTTCACTTTTTCCTTTCACCCTTCCTATATAGGGATCGCATACAGGTCTGCGAAGATATAACGGGAGAAGAGGGCCTAAAGGAGAAAAAGTAAGTATATTCAACGTTTCTCTTCAGTAAGGCATTGTAAAATACACTGCACGCAAGTGACCGCAACTATCTTCCCCAGTCTGCCCACCCTTGATTGTCTCATGGGTCTTCGTACATGAATTCACAAATATAGCGAGCAAAAATAACTACTAGATTCGCACTGACGAGTCTAAATTGTATACAGCTTGTTGATTATTAACATCCCCTATTTCTTAATCTTAGGGTAACAGAGGGGATCGTGGTTACAAGGTTGGTCTTTGGAAGAACTTTATATATATAAGCATGCAATGTATTATATGTTAAGTTCATAACCTATTAGCTATTCGATGTTGCGGTTAAGGACTGGTAATAGTGAAATTCACAATGCATCATGGGGCTTTTTTCGGAAAAATCTCAAAAACTGTCCCTTAATGCGTTGCTGCTCTCACTATCACCAGGCCACTACCGCAACTTCGGAATGGTCAATTGCAAACGACATCGCATAAAAAATTATAAAATTCTCTTCTACGAGTTATCCTCAAATTTATTTTTTCGATGATACTAAATTACGAATACTTTTGAAGAGAATATATCGTAAAATATACTGGAAAAATGCGATTTAAAGATAATTTATATTGGAAGATTGCATGAGATTAGTATTAGTATTTGATTAGTATTTGTGATAACATTGTAGAAAAAAATTGCATTTAAACTTCTCTTAATCCTCCCGTAAGTTTAATCGATGTTTTAATTGAATGCATGCATATTTCCTGATCACAGGGTCCACTTGGCCCAACGGGGAATCCAGGATCAGACGGACCAAAGGTGAGTTAAATAAAACATAGATAGTGAAAAATAGTAATGCCTATGGATGCATGGGCGTAACAGAAGGAGGTTTTTTCAGGCCTAACAAACTCCGTACTGTGCACCTACCATGCAGGTGTTGTGTTTTACCATTGCAATATTATAGTAAATATGATAGAACAATACAGGGTATTCAGTTAATATCCATTCAGCGTATAAATAGATCATCAAATTTTTCGTTCAGGGAGCTGTAGGAGAACCTGGTCAAAAAGGTCGTAAGGTAAGCGTATTTATTCAAGCATTATATTAATTTTAAATCTGTCCTGTGATGGAACAGTTTTGTGAACTATAAGCATTTTTTCTTCCCTCGTTCAATTAAAGAGAGTAGCAAATGGCCCATATCTCTATTAAACTAAATTTAAAACCTAGAAAAGCATCCCAAATTTAGAAAAGTGTAAAGACTAGCTGTGTAATATTCCAAAGTGTAAAAAAATGCCGAGTGCATAGAAATTTTTCTATAATTTAGTGTTAAAACGTGGACGGTTTTTCGCGTGTAATACTATATATATATATTACACAAAATTTGCTAACTTCATGATCACACGGCGATATTTAATTTTTGGTATTTTTCAACATTTTGCGATTTTACTTTGGGTGCTCTTTCTTAGCATTTGCTTTAATAGGGAGGTTGTCCAATTATTATACACGTTTTAATTTGTGAGCATGCAATTATTTAGAGCATGCATGGTATAACTTTTATTAAATTTAAGGTAATTTCGCATGTAGCTATACTTTATCACGGCAACAAAACGACCAAGCTGAAAGAGGCGAATGACAACTGGCTGACGGTGGTTCACTAAAAGTAGTGGATCCGTATTAACTTTTAGCTACCAACCGAAAAAAAAGAAACATAACCAGGCCCTGTTCCAACTGCAGAGATCGCGTCTGTTGTATAAGGGAAAATCTACTTAATAATTATATTTAAGTGGGAAATTGGCGTACAGCTGGGATCGTGAATTTTGAAAATAACTGTACACTGAAATCAACAACCCTTTGTGTAGTTAAGATTTGGCCCCAGGTTTTTCTATACTGAAGACTCCAAAATTGAACTGAAAAACGAAATGGAAATAGTAAAAAGAGGAATCAAGTTTGTCAGAAGCCTTGTTTCGCCTTCGCTTTCCACGGCGCATCATATATCACTCTTTTATTGAATTACAGTCATATATGGCAATGTCTTAGTATATTTTTTATTTATAGGGTGAACGAAGCCATCTTAGAGGGGAAGCGGGAATAGATGGTCTTGAGGTGAGAACACAGAGTTGCAAAAAAGCTGCGGGTACGCGCGGGTACCACCCGCGAGCTCGGTTTGATTTGAATGAGGTTTGTGAGGAAGGTTCAAAGTTTAACACTCTAATTGATCACATGCATGTATCAAAAACCTAATATTTCTTTATTCTGGTTGCCACTTGACTCAGTGACATAACGCCATTTTGAGGAAGGTTTTCAAAACTTGAAATCCTACCGGAGTAAGGTTGAACTCTTTTTTCAACTCTGTGAGAACAACGTCGGCTATCAAAAGAAATCAGTCATGCATTAGACGAATAAACGTTTGTCGGACAGTGGTCGGACAATGAGGTTTCGTTTTTTAATTTAAAGCATTAATGGCGCAGACATAATCTTTGTTTACATGACAACCTAATGATTTTTATTTAGGGAGATCCTGGTCCGAATGGACTTCCACCGCCAGAGGTAAGTAGGTCACTTTATAAACACGTGTGTAGCTATATATAAAAGGGGAACAACGTTGGATATGGAGTGTGTCATAAGGTTTCCCTGAACCTTTTGTATGCATGTGGATAAATGCATGCCGATAGTATATATATAAACGGAGTCCATATTAAGGGGCTGTTTACATGATCCCGCTTAGCCGATATTAAACAAAGCGTAAAATGACTTTGAGGTATTGGAATGAGTAAGTAACAAGATCTTGCCTAATTGGTAGCCGTTTAGTCATCCTATTTCCGTCATTATTTGTTTGAAGAAGGATTGGAATTACCGTTCAGTCCGTTTTGAAAATATTTCTGTACTATGTAGAGAAGAATATTATCGTTTTATACATTTCATATTGTGTGTTTTAGACAATCAGGAATATGTTGATTCATGCATTAAACGATTACCAGGTCATACAAAGTGGTTTCTATAACAACATCTATCATGTGAAATCACGTGATTTGACTGATGGTAGATCAGACACTGGTGGGTGGGGAAGTGAAACTCCAAAGATCGGAAACTTCATTCAAGCAATTTATGCTCGTCCTGTCTACGCCACGTCAGTCACAGTGGCAGGAGGTTTCATACCATCTTGGGGAAACGACGTCAAACGAGGATATGGAAATTTAGCCCTGGAATACTCATCAGACGGCCGAAACTGGGAAAGTGTGATTGGACAATTGTTTTTGGTAAGCATTATGTATAATTCATGTATAGCAATAACGCGTTCATATAAACCAAGAATTATTGTTGCTTGCATCGAACTTTACATTATTACTCATGTCCGAATGCATTAAGGCGGTTTTCCACTAGGCTGGATTTTTCGACCAAACGAAATTTTTCGTCTGATATTCTTTTCAATTGTGGGAATTCCTCCGGAGCGGATTCCCCTCACCGGTCACAATTTGAAAAGAAAATCAAGAGGAAAACTGCGTTTGATTGAAATTTATAAACAATTTAATAAACGCCTTTATAAACAAAAGATAATGAGCCCCATTTCAGTGCGAGCTTTGAGCAGCTTGGTCAAGCAGAACGGGATTTTTTAAAGCAGAGTTCGACCTTGATAGATAGTATGGTAAAAATACATGGTAATGGTAAAAATATTTGGTCTTTAGGACGTCACAATTCCTTCACCGGTGGCACAGGAATTAATCACGGTAACATTCCGACCGGTAACAGCTCAATACTGGCGCCTAATCTCAACAGAAGATAAATGGGTTGGAACAACTGAGTTTGCATTGAGACCTCTGATCATGGCGACTTGAATATTAAACATTAAATTGGGATGCGCTGTGGTGAATCACAGAATTTCTTGTTAAACGTTTACTTAATTAATTTACAGATTTCGTAGTTTTCAGACAAGGTCATGTTACTCATGTATTGTTTTGTATGTTCCTTAGGCTACTTTGAAATAATAAGCTTTTTACATGCAGTTCATAAATTTTGAAAGAAGTTATATTCGTTTGCTTATAATATTTATATATTCGACAGAAAAATAGATATTCGAAAGGCTAGCTTAGTGGTTTTGAGAATGCGCCTTCAGTTTGACATTATTTGTCTCGGGCCTCAAAGAGAGAAGGAATTGAAGCAGCAAATGCTGCCATGCATTTCTTCCAAATATACGAGGTTGAGCTAGGTTGATCGTCCGCGAATATTAATTAAATATTTTACCCTGCCATACCGCTAATAAATATAACCTGTCATGTATATCAGTGCATGCATCTGTGGTGCATTAGGGTAGGAGCTGTGAGTTTTTGGCACCAAATATATTTCCGAAAAGACATGACGACGTGACAAACCCAACGAGCGCATCTTAGCTAAATATACACGAGTGACAATGAGTCATGATAAAGTAGTTTGTGATTGAGTAAGATTTGCATAACATTAAATGTTTGGTAGTTTAACTCCTACGGGCTACTGAAAAACAAAAGTAAGTAAAGATAAAGATATTTACACTTAACGGGCAAACGTTTTATTATAAGCACCGTTACAGCAACGTTTTCCATTGAAAAATTGCCATGGCTGCTTTGTATAGGAGTTGTTCTCTATATGAAAACGGAGTTGCTTGGGCGGAGTGTCCTTCTTCGCCGGAGGAAGTAGAGTTCGCATGGTCTGACCATATAGGCAAATGTTTTCGTTCTCGTGGCGCTCGCGTGCGCGTGTACGCGGTCTACGCGGTCTACCAAGATCAGACTTAGAAAATACTGAAGAAACAATAAAAACAATAGTCACGCAAATTCACACAAGGCCATAAGTGTATGATAATCCTGATTCGTTCAGACCGGTAAAACGTCGACGATGAATCAGTTTGTTTTAAACGCAGAGCTCGCAATCGCAGCGAAAAATGCACGCCATCGCGCCAGTGAAATGAAAGTATAAGCTCAACTGGGTTGAGAATCTGTCATGTCAGGGCATGGTGCTTGAACAGATGCGGGAACACTGGATTCCTTGCTGATTCGTACGACCATGACTTTGGAATTGTTAAAAACGCAATAGAAGAGTTTCTATATAGCTATTTTCCTTTTTTAAAGATATATTTGCTCTTTCGAAATCCGTGCATTTCCTTGTCTGGCTTGTTTTAATTTTGGATAATGCTATTTATTCAGATATTCCTCTGCTAGTATATAGCTAAATTTAACGGCGTCCATGAAAGATTTTCCAACAAATATTTACTTTGACTGCCTACTGTTTAACTGTTAAATGTTTACTTTTTGTGACAAACTATTGTCTTCCTTCAGCAAAGGAAGAATTTAATATTCAATGAGTTTAATTCATTGATATTTGGCCATGGATGCGCACTCAAAATTGCAATGCCTCTGTTGAAATGCATGCAGTATACCTAATTCACAGTTAAATCTATACGAGGTTGTCCTTGGTAAAACGTTTCATAAAAAAACAACTAAACCTTGCTAATGTTAGAACCACGCAAATCTACCATCTATAAGAGTATAATCCTTAAACTTATTTGTGCTGCCCATTATGCACATCGAGATCAGTCGTCATGTTATTTATAATGTGCATATAGTGGACAGCACTCTTTGATCTTAAACATAAGGTCTTAAGGTTCGATGACTAGACAAGAATTACCAAGGTCCAAGTACCACTTTTTTTGTGTAAACCACGTGTAGGTGTTTATTTACATGTAATTCCGGCAATTGTGGGCCGTGTCAATCAAATCAAACTTTGGCTGTTTTTATACATAGAATCTTTCGTGCCGATTTCGTATCAGCTAAGAAAAATGCTTGTGATTAAGTCATTAAGAACAGATAAATATTGTTATAATAATATTAAATGATAGTAACATGCAGGTTAAGTTAATATTATTTAATTTCTTAATGCGCAGCGAGCCTCATTTATGAATAGTTGGATAAAAATTACAATGCCTTTAAAATGCATTATCATGCAGCTAATTCAATGAAGTTGTCGTTGGTAAAGCCATTTGCTACTCTAAACCTTATAAGGTTTAGAGTAGACAACAGCACAGTTTAATCAGTTTGGAGCGCATAAATATCATCGAATTTAAAGTTGCATCTTTCAAGACTTCAAGACTACATAACACGCGAGGATGTTTGTTTTACTGTGTTGTGTTAGCAGCAGACGCCCTAATTCGACTCCCACTGAACATCTAACGGGTTCCTAAGTTCTATATTTTGACTGCACGTTTGTGACCTATAGTTGTAAAACTTCAAGACTTCAAGACTACATAACACGCGAGGATGTTTGTTTTACTGTGTTGTGTTAGCAGCAGACGCCCTAATTCGACTCCCACTGAACATCTAACGGGTCCCTAAGTTCTATATTTTGACTGCACGTTTGTGACCTATAGTTGTAAAACTTCCCATCGTTTCAAGTCCAGTACGGCAGAGTACGCACTCTCATGTCATCTTCGTACCGGATTAATAGCACACCTGATTGATACATAGGCGTTGCAGTTACACAAAGGTGTAACAATCCGATACGATCCACTGAATGAAAATCACTCCGCTCTGGAGATGACTGTTTCCGTGTCATCCAGAGAATCCGCTATCAAACGCTTGCAAAGGTTATCGATTCCAAAACAAGTTCGATTTCACTGTTTGTCCACGACAATATTTATTTTCGAAATTTTGCTTGCCCTTCGTTGTCCTCCATTTTGTTTGTATTTTAAATCAATTATTAATCCGGCCGTTATAGTGTAACCAAGACAAATCCGATACCATATGTTAATATGTATATCGAATCAAAGTAGAAAATCCGGTAATCGTGTAATTGAAGCCTTCTCAAATGTTCTTCTAATGATATTACTTGTTCGGAAAATTTGCCCTTGAATATTTGGGCGTTCGAAGGGTTTGAGTATTTTCATTAAGCAGACAATCATCAAAATGACAACGACTTTGCAAATAATATGAGTAAGCAATTTGCGAGAAATAAAGTCGACTGAAGTAAAAGCATCTATCTGACAATTATTTTTTACTATTTAGTTTGACACGCTTCCATAACGTTAACGAGTAACGTTACAATGATATTGATTAATTCATATGAGCTGGATGAATGAAAAACGTTATGGAATGGGATAGTCGTCAATAGGAATCTGAATATTAGATCTTTGAGTTAGACCTGTATTCAAATATCGCACTCTTTGATCTTTATCGTCAGGACTTTAGTCTCGCAGACTTTGATGGCTAAAGGCAAATATTATCAAGTACCACTTTTATTTCTTTGACTTTGTGTAAACCGCATGTGCATGGGTGTTTATCATCGATTATTCCCTTGATTTCGTTTCAGCTCCTGTCTCTTGCGGTCATTACAAAAAAGAAAGATGAAATCCTTATTATATAGAGTCATAGCAGGCTGTCTTGCTGAATAGAAGACAACATGAAGACTTGGTTGATCATTTCGGTGCTCCTTTTGGAGATTTCATACACCTTTGTCATCGGGGTAAGTATAATTTGTTAACTGTTCATTTTTTCTCTTCGATTTTATTCCAGTAATCAATCGCAAGCAACTGATGGAAGCATCAGTCAAAGGACAATATAGTACTTTAGTACTACATTAGATAAATCAACGGTCATTTTATCTTTAGAAAATCAAAATACTCAAAGGAAATAATCCTGGGGTATGTTCGAAAAAGAACAGTGGTGAGATAATGCTTGTTCGAGATCGACAAAACAAACAAAAACTCTTGATCTGCACAAACGATAAAGGAATTTTTGGATGGAGAACACTGGATGGTATGACTTACATAGCTACAATACATATTAAGTTTCAAAAAGCTTTTCATCCTGGGTTTTACAGAGAGGAATTTGCTCTTTGGTGTTATTTTCATTGGTGTTTGAATGTCTCAACCTTTCATAGATCATTTCTCTTCAGTTTTGGAATATTTTAAGATAACGCGGCTAATGCATGTGTGACACATATAACACGACACAGATTTGCCAATTATTTTATGATCATATATAGTGTATATGAATTTCAGTGTTTGTAAATATACAAAAGTAATAAAACGACAAGTACTACTTCGCTTTTACAAAAACAGAACTCTAAGATAATTAGTTTTACTTATTACCAAATCTATGCATATATAATATATTATATAGGATCTAGTCCACCAGGTGAATTCTTCAATCCGGGATACGACTGCACCAGTATATTGAATAAAGATCTAAAGGCTAAAGATGGGTTTTACTGGATCACACTTGGGCACAAAATTCCGAGGAAAGTATGTATTTTATATAAAAGAAGTCCTCTTTTTGGAATAAATTAATGTTTGAATAAAATTATAATAAGATATAGTAAAGACAGTACACACTCAATGCAGTTTTAACAAAAGCAGTTATATGATCCAAATAGCTAATTTAGATAAACTTTATTCAGTTTTATTAGTCTCCACATAACTATTTTATGACTTACAAATATACAAACATAATATTCGATGTTGCAGTCGTGTATATAATGTTATATTCGATGTTAGGGTCGTATATATAAGTATATTATTTGATTTAAGAGATATTTGCTTGCTTTTATGTTTACTTAATAAATTGTAAAGGAAATATATACGCCTTACATGACAGTGTATATACTCTAGCTATGCTATAGTTATAGCTTAATAAGTTCCTATATGTTCTCCTAAGTTCCCGTATGAACGCTCACTGCCCTCCTCCGATAATTCGTTTGTTACAATCATGGGGTTAGTAGCAACATATGATCAATGAAATACGTTCAAAACAAGAGGTTCAGGTGGTCAGGCCATATAATATTGAAGATGTTTCTTATGCTTTTAAGGTTTATTGTGACATGACTACCGATGGAGGGGGATTTATTTTGGTTGGTCGCAAGAATACATCAATCACCTGGACTGTTCCTTCCAACAACAAGCCAGTTGAACCATTCGGTGATCCTCATTGGACCAGCTCATTAGGCAATGCACCAATCAAAGATTTTAGAGTTCAAGTTGCAAGTCAAGAAAATTTTAAGGCAACAAAGGCACATTGGTGAGAAATGTAGCTTTATCTATTATTTATATAGCCTTATAGGTAATAATATTTTCTTAATAAATTAAATCAGATCAATCAAATAGACCTTTCAGGCCATGATGAAATAGATTAATCAATCAGATCAATCAAATAGACCTTTCAGAATATAGACTTTTTGTCAATATACGTAAACATTATTTAAATAATCGTACATAAAGAATATAACAATTATTTTATATTGTTTTAGGAATAGATGACTTTTTACATTAATTATTTTGTATTCTGCTTCCAATTAATATTGTTCGCGACAGTTGGTTAAATCTATTCAAATTTGCATGTATTTGTCATGAAAATGCTCGTTTTGATACAATATTTCCAAGTTTTTTGCTTTTTCTCTTCAGGTACTATAGACTCCGCAAACCACGGCCACTCAAGAGCTTAATGATTATAAATAAAGGCGGGTGTGGGAAAACTTCGCCTGGAATTGGAGACGTACAGTTTGTGAAAGATTTGATTACGGATAACATCGTGACTACAAAGTTTCGCTGCTCAAAATTTGGAATGGCTCATAATGCAAGGACACGGTTTGGATGGGTAGGTTTAGATGGACATTGCACCAGTCGCTTTTCCCCCCGCTTGTTTTTTAATGCACACAATACATGGTAACATTGTTTACAGGAATGAATTTTCTTCCTAAAGGGAGCATTATAGGCATGCAATAAAATACATGCTGCATGTATATATATATATATATATATATAACATGAAAGTTTTAGGGTTCTGCAGGAAAAAGCAAAAAAAATAAATAGCTATATATATAACCAAATTAAACGTTTTAAATTTGCATATGCGAAGGCGAAATTAATTTTTTTATGTCCAGTTATTTTTACAAAATCCCAAAAGTCAAGTAATATTCCCAATTTTCATGCAACAATATTAAACCACAATGAAATTTAATATTCTGAAAGATTGGTATCAAACAAATAGCGCCAAGAAATACTGAATGATTTTCCATTTCAGGCTAAGATGAACGATTGCTTGCAAAGGCCATGTCGCTGGGGATTTGCTTTCCATCATAAATATCCGCTTCAAACTGACTACTCTGGGGCATTCAGGTAAAATAACATTTTCCGTCATTTCTATAGCTACCTACCTTTATTGATTGATCAAAACTAGTTATGAGAAAATGCTTGAGTGAACACTGCAATATTCTTAGCATACACTTGCTCCCTATATTGCAGCTACAGCACGAAAAACAGTATTTCCGGAATAGATTATGGAGCGACAGCTCTTATTGGTTGCGACAATGGCCAGGTTTGCTCAATAAAGTTATTTATTATTATCACGGCATATTCCTCACTATAACTTTCCATGAACCTATACATTGCTGTTTTGCTTTCATGATGTCATATAACACAGTGTTGCGGTTGCTATGGACCCAAAAATGGAAAGAAAAACTATTGTTTCAAGGAGTGCAATGCACGAAATGGGGGGACCGTACGAAAAAACGTATACACTTGGTTCTGGGTTAGAACATCCATTCCTAGAAGATTGTGGACTAAATGCATGGACTACAAAGTGGTCGAGAATGGCGCTTCTGTGTGGTACAAACTTGTCGGTGGAAATGAAATACCAAAGAAGGTTTAATTTAACTATATATAGCCGACCATATTTTTGGTTTAATGCGATTTAAACTCATTGCATGCATAGCAAATTTCTCAAGTAAATATACCCTAAGTGTATATGCAATTACAAATAATCCATAAAAAAGTTCAAATAAGTTCTATATTCAGTTTATAAGTTATCAAGGTTTAAGACAATTTCGTCCGTACTCGAGCGAACGCTGAAAGTTAATTAAAAAAGATTGGGTTTTTGGGCGTTTTAATTTTCTAATGACCTAAAGCTCATCAGTCAATCCAGCAGTGACAATTTACATCATTTTCTGATCAACGACGTTTGAGTGGCGATTCCCAGAGGGCAAAGATTATGGATAATAATTCACAAACAAAATTGATGTTGATTGTGATGCATGGTGCTGCGGTGCTGCCGCTATTGTACATGTATAAATAGGGTTGGTTTATTTCTTCAATTTGCGCGGTGTTTCCGCCTAATATACCTTAGTATAGCCCTGGTATAGAAAATCAAGCCTATAGAGTTTTAAAATGTCGAACTTCCATGTACTTGCAAGCTTGAGCATATGCTTATTTGGTGTATCTATACTAGTATATATATATATATATATATATATATATATATATATATATATATATATATATATATATATATATATATATATATATATTTGGTGTATCTATACTAGTATATACATATATATATATATTTGGTGTATCTATACTAGTATATATATATATATATGGTGTATTTATACTAGTATATATATATATATATATATTTGGTGTATCTATACTAGTATATATATATATATATAGTGTGTACGCGCCATACCATAAATATTCCTTAAAATATTATTGCGTATAATCGACTGTAGGGTCGCTGTGTTAAAGACAAACCACTTTTCTACGAAGGGGTAAGTTAATAAATAAATATTGCGCTGCAGTAAGTTAGTGTAAGGTTTTCGGTATAAATACATCAAAAAGAAATGAAATTTGTATCTGAGAGTCCTACTAACTCTCCTGACGAAGGCCCTCAGGTCGAAACGTCGAGAAGTGTTTTGTCTATTTTAGGCATTTGCTGTTATACCATGCACGTGCATTTGATGCTTATAGTTCTAATTTCACTGACGCAGCTTATCGATAAAGGCACTTAAGTTTACATAGTAGGTAAGAATTGTTAATGTGATATTAACTAGTTTGATGCGAGTCTGGAAAAGTATTACTTTTTGCATGTACATTTGGTGTATCTATACTAGTATATACATATATATATATATTTGGTGTATCTATACTAGTATATATATATATATATGGTGTATTTATACTAGTATATATATATATATATATATTTGGTGTATCTATACTAGTATATATATATATATATAGTGTGTACGCGCCATACCATAAATATTCCTTAAAATATTATTGCGTATAATCGACTGTAGGGTCGCTGTGTTAAAGACAAACCACTTTTCTACGAAGGGGTAAGTTAATAAATAAATATTGCGCTGCAGTAAGTTAGTGTAAGGTTTTCGGTATAAATACATCAAAAAGAAATGAAATTTGTATCTTGCCTCAGATGTTGGTTGTTCCAGACAACACAACAGAAAATAAAATACCAAGTGTCGAGGGAATGATGGTGTACAGGAAAGACAACAATAAAGTTTATGTTCAAGGAGATAAAAAAATGAACGCATTGGCCGAGGAAAAGAAGGTTGATATGCTTTTTTATTACATATATAAGCGCAGCTCAATCGATACCGGTATAGGCTAGCTGTATGCATGAGTTGATGTTGAGGCATGTTTTAGGAGGCAACATTCATATATATACTGCATAACGCAATAAGTAAATGATATTAAAATCGATACATTTTGAATTTTTTTCTGAAATATTTCTGACTTAATGGATAATAATTCATGAATCGAGATTGTTTACAATTGGACAATACTTTTTATTGTATAGATACTCAAAATATTGGATAAAGATATTGCAAAATTGGAGAGTAAATTCGACAGTTTCAATCAAACCTTGAATAGCAAGATACGATTAATGCTCTCTCGTAAGTATATTGGTATATGTCCAATCACAGATGATAACAGATCATGATATAACCAAATATATTCTGATCCGAATAATAACTAAATATTGCCTTATAGCAAGAAGGAAAAATCAAAAGAATTCAAAGTTCAAAAGAATTGCGATTGTGACTATTGTTCACATGCATGCATGCACGGTATTCGATATGCATGCATGTGTGTCGAGTCGCCACCATAAATTTTAATGCAATAAATTTTTATAATTGACAAACTCTGAGAGGTCGAAATTTGCCTTTTTATAGTCCTATATTTACCACTTTTCGCATATTGTTCTTTAATTTACAAGTCACTGAACGTTTTGACAAGTTAAGTGGAATTGTGTTTTTTTCAATTGAATGATATAATCCATGTGGTAACGTTCAACGATAATCGATCTACATTAATTGTGGTCAATTATTGAGGTAGTATCACTCCTATTTAACGGCCCTCGTACAAGCTTCCGATCCAGAGCGGGGCGCTTTCAGTTCTAATATAACCAGGGAGCAGCGTGGCACGGTGGCAGCGTCTTCAAACAACTTAACATCAAATGTGCATGGTATAACGGCAACTGCCTAAACTAGACAAAAAACTTCTCGACGTTTCGACCTGAGGGCCTTCGTCAGGAGAGTCCTACTAACTCTCCTGACGAAGGCCCTCAGGTCGAAACGTCGAGAAGTGTTTTGTCTATTTTAGGCATTTGCTGTTATACCATGCACGTGCATTTGATGCTTATAGTTCTAATTTCACTGACGCAGCTTATCGATAAAGGCACTTAAGTTTACATAGTAGGTAAGAATTGTTAATGTGATATTAACTAGTTTGATGCGAGTCTGGAAAAGTATTACTTTTTGCATGTACATCGAATATTTGAATCGCAAAGAGAAATAATTTTATCAAACATGATGTAATTTGGGGGATCACTAGATATCCATCCCAAAAAACTAGAAGGGACGTTTCTCTCCAGGATTGATGCCCCTGTTAGAAATGTTATAGCTATATAACGTACGATGTTAGCTAACATAAGACACATGTTCACACGATGCCGGTTAAACTCTCCTGGAAGTGAAATCATACGCGGTTTTAATTGTTCACATTCACATACGGATGAGCATTTTTATATACATTGCAATTAGGTGACATTTCGGCTTCCACAGTCCTGAAAGGTCAACCTGGAAGTTATCTCAAGCAATTGAAACAATGGTTTTCTTTCAATAAGCTGACATGTTGTTGGAGAACTTCACTGGATGGCTGGGATTCGCGTGTATTTCATACACGATGCGACAATAGAGGAAAAACAATCACTTTGGTTAAAGTTGGGAATTATATCTTTGGTGGATACTCAACCTATCAATGGGGTGGTAAGTTTATGGCCTAGATCAAACGTCGCTCTTTTCATGCACCGAACCTAATGCAAATGAATTAAAGTCTTTGTTTGAACTCATTTGCATTAGGCTCGGCGCATGAGAAGAGCGACGTTTGACCACTTAAGGCCATATAATATAAAAATATGTTACGAGGCACTGAAACAGAGAACATCGACAGAATTGCCGGTTTAACTTGAGATGTCTAATCACTTAGCTCATGCACTATCCTATACTACATGCCTCGATCGCGATGAGACACGAAGAGTAAGTTATAGTCTACATCCAACTTAAAACCCAATTAGAATTAGCCACCCGTTATTGATATTCTTCACTGTTAACTACAAAACATGGCAGTAATGACCTTAATTGTAATTTTAGGGTCAAACGGCGCTTGGCGATCAAGCTCGAGCAACTACATTTTCTCTCTGCGCAACAAAGACAACTTGAGTCCATTCAGATCAGCAGTCTACAGAAACACTCATCTCGCAATTTACACAAACCCGACATATGGACCAACGTTTGGTGGCGGACATGATCTATATATTGCAAGAAATGCTAACAAGAACAGAAATTCATATACACATTTTGGTAACACTTACCGTCCTCCATCTGGCTACAGTTATGGCAACAGTAATACCCAAGCACTATTGGCTGGTAGTTACCATTTCACTCCCACTGAAGTTGAAGTTTATTATTATGTGTGACATTAATTCAGCTAATTTTGCATGTAATTAGTTTAAGAAACTAATTGTAATCAAAGGGTTTGTAGTTTTTAGAAATAAAAGTTCAGGGCATTTTAATTCTATTCACTTCGCTGGTATTATTCGTTTAGAAGCATGATGATTGCGCATCCAGCAAAGCTGCGTACGAATTTTGAGTACCAAGATGGTATATGGTATATACCAAAATGCTATATCAATCAATAACAATATATAACTGAGCGGTTTCAAATATTTGTGAGCTTGCTTTGGATTTGGATTATAAACTTATTCAGTATAGACCTGTTATATTCGACCACATGCAGTTATTCGACGGATGACGTTGATATTGACAATACACTATGCTGTACGCGCTGCGATTTTTTCAACACAAGCACTGACGAGTGGTTTCTGAAACAGTATTATATGACGTCAGTATTATATACTGAAGAATGCATTTAACCATTTTTTAAAATATAAAAGTAAAGTACCGATCATGCAAAGTGGGCTGGTTACTGTGAATATATATTAAAAAGACTAGGTTCCTTTATAGCTGGTGAATTATATTGCAATGGTTTGTCGTCTGCATGCATTTAGAAACTTATTTCAAGTTAATTTGGTGTTCGAACTATATAGAACAATTAGCCATTTCCCAAACGAGCAGTGCATTGGGTCTTGAACCGCAGTATCTATGGACTGTTTGGAGGGACAGGAAATATAAGTCTGAAATAAAAGAAAGTCTCTCCAAACAGTCCATAGAGTGCTCGTTTGAAAATTCACACATGTCCATGCACAACACCTGCATACAAATATGTCAGTTAATTATAAGTATATTGAATTTGAATCTTTGCTAGTTAAATTAGTTTACGTCTAGACCTATATCCGTCATTGTATTATATGTCCAGTGTTCACCGGGTATTTTAATAACATATTACTGCAATGAGTTTCAGCATCGACCTTTTGTATTCTATATCCCGGCTGTTATAATCCAGATTTTCCGGCAATCTAATTAACTAAATTATTCTATATGATAATACGATGTTGTGCATGATACCTATGCGATCATACAAGGTCTCCGATCTTATACTATATATATACACAGTTACATGTTGTAGCATGTACAATGGATATATAATGATTTGAATCCCCTTTCATTTAAAAATATATCCACCTGTGTCGATACCACTATTATAGGCAAGTGTATATATATGTATATATATACCAGCCCATTTTTCCAGGATACCGCTATCAAGCAATATGTGTTATAATAATAAAACAGCTAGACAGCCGATCCATGATGCATACATGCAGGTTGAAATTCACACAATCATGTTGCAACAGGTCCTATAGGAGTTTATGAAATATAAACTACGTACAGTTGAACATTTTATTACCACCTCCGCCCCATAAAACACTATATTATTATGTTTTTAAAAATATCTTTCGTCGTTTGAAGGAATGGATTTAGCATTGCTGAAATATTTCGGCGTCGCAAATTTAATACCAACAATAATATTTTAATAACATAGGCCAAATTAATTCCCATGAAATAATGCATATGTAAGAAAAGGCAGACAGGTCCACCTACCCAAAAACGTTATTAGGCTGCTGCATGTATATAGGAACACGCCCCTCGAACGCTTCGCGCTTAATTATACCTGAATATATATATATGATAATACATGCACCTTATATATCTAAGGAGGGGGGGGGAGGGGATGAATAGGTTTACGGATCGACGGATTCAGACCAATAACTTGCTCGGATTTTGGATTAACCGCGCTATTTTGCGGGATTTTCGGATCCTAAAAATATTACGGATTACGGATTTAGCAGCCGTGTGGTATCGGATTATGGATTTACGTTGTTATTTTCTACGGATTATGGATTTTGTTTAGATGGGGCAGATAGGGATACCCTGTGATTTTTTGTCACTGATATCACTTTCTGTCCCGTTGCAAAAATTCAAGATTGCGGCGCGCGGTCGTTCGCTGCGTCGGCTCACTCGTGACAATTTGTGATCATGAACATCGGGTGATAAAACTTATATTGATCACCTCACCTATCATATGATAAACTAAAAATACATAACATTCGAACTACTTATTTGCCTCTCTGCATGAGTCACGTGTATGATCGAAAATTTTTCAGCGGATCCGGATTCTAACCAAAATATTTTCGGATTTGCGGATTTGGCAAACATTTTTTTGCGGATAAACGGATTTGCAGACACCTATTCACTCCCCCCCCCCTAAGACAACAAGCATTTGGTATATATATACATGGTATATATGATATATGCCTTGTGCTGGCATAATTTTGATCAACAACTTCAAACCCACTTAGTTTACAAATATTTATCAGTAAAATTAACTGACCTCACAGCGATTATTGATATTTATTATATAATATGCAGTGTTTTATTGACGAATCCGCAATTTTGACATATCAAACTCTTTCTCTATTGAGGTGAACATTTGCTCAAACTAGTGTCCAGTTTTTTTCTATTACAAAATGCGCGCCTTGTAAAACAATATGGTGTCTAGACCAAAGCGCACATTATGCAAACCTCAACGTTTTGTCCACGAATTTGCGGTTCGATGTGGAAAAAATCATTTAAACGGGAGGCGAAAGACAATAACCTTTACGAAGTTGAGATCAAAAAGATTGATCAAGAATATAAACGTGTTCGTACGCATTTTAAAGGATACGATTCGCGTTTTGATGAATGGCGACCCAATGGGCTATGGCAAAGTTAATATATTTCCCGTTTCTTCAGCATGAAAAGCCTCGTGTTTTGGCCGCCGCGTCAATATAGACGATAGAGCCGATAATAACAATAACAATAAAACCTTTTGATTAAAATTCGCCCTTACACGCGCAGGTAGCCGATGTGAACGATATTAATGTCCCTTATTCCAGCATATTATATGTATAATATATACACAATATATCAATAAGAAAATCATTAATGTGTACTGCAGCAGCGTAGGCTATTGCCGACGCTATTTATTGCGCGCCGACGCAAAATATACACAACTGTGGTATTAAACAGGGGCCGGTTGTATCAAGCCCGTTTAGCTTAAACGGTGGATAAGTCAAAATTAAATAACACTCTTACATCTCTCTTGAATGAGTCACCTTGAATATTATGCACTGAATATGTAGTTGTAAACAGTATCTTTGTATTAAGGTCAAAAACATTTTGTTTGCTTGTTGAATAAAACGGCAGGCTTGCTTTCTATTTTGAACTTATCCACCGTTTAAGCTAAACGGGCTTGATACAACCGGCCCCAGTACTATATTAAAGCATACAAGGTGAAAATATAAAATTCTCTTGCCTGCTTATCTCGTAACTGGTAAACAGCGGGCCTCCATTCTGATTGTGTTCACATCACCAACAGCAGAGACTGCATTAATGTGTGAACAACATATGCAAATGCCGACCAATGTCGCAAAATACCTACAGTTCATGGCCATCGGTCCGAAGCTAATTCGCGTTGAATATGTACGAAATTCATATCAAAATACGCGCCAAAACATGTAGATTTCAATTCCGAATGTAAGGAAAAGAAATATTGTATAGTGGAAGCAGTACGAGGAGTTTTCCCGCAACTTCCGCTCTAAACGGCGATTTTTGACCAATATTCTTATATAGCCCGCAACATTCAACCCCCAAAGTCCGACTCTGGGATACGACGAATCTTTACCAAAAACAATAAAGAATGTGCGGCATAGGTCTAAATTTAATAATCCGTGTGTAAGTGAAAGATGGCTTCAGTTTCTAAGGCACACGAACAGAAAAAGCGCTTATTTTGGACGAGTTTGTATTGCGCACTGCTGGGGGTATCCTCGCTTGTAACGCGATATAGACTATTTGTATAGCGAGAGTTTGATATGAAAAGCGACAATAACGCATGTGCGATATATTCATGATAATAACACATGTGCGATTATCGTGTTTGATCAACCGATCTGGAATCAGGAAGGGGGATAAAAAACTGTTCAAAAAGCCCAGTTTTTTATTATATAGTAAACACAATAATACATGGATGCTTGGAAATATGGAATTTATTTCTCGTTACGTGTTGAGAAAGATGACTCACTCGTTCACTGTGCTCACTCCTTCGATATCATTCTCAACACTCGAAATAAATTGCATATTTCCGCAAATCCATGTATTATTCTCTCATAGGATTAAAACTCCCGGTGAATTAAGTATTATAATGCACTGCATGAGCATCTCTTTCATCCTGGTGTGAATTAATACCGCGCTTAATTGAATGTTGTTCATGCATGTTAATGAAATCGAATGAAATTTAGCCGCTATTATTGTAGGAATCGTCTTCTGTCTTCGTTTCAGCTCCTGTCTTTAACAGCCATTACAAATAAGGAGAATGAAATCCTTAGAGTCATTGCAGGTTGCCTTGCTGAAGGGAAGACAACATGAAGACTTGGTTAATCTTTTCGGTATTCTTGCTGGTGATTTTAACAACTTTTGTTAGCGCGGTAAATATAATATAGACTTGTTGTCCTTAGCTTTTACATTTTCTTATTTTGCATTAACCATGCATATACATTCCAAATTTGTATTTCTGATTCTATACCCTTTCGATGTATTATTTTTACGTATACATGAATGAATGCATGCATGCATGGATTTTTATATGCATTGTAAGGTATCCGTTAAAAGTTAATTTTGTACCATGATCTCTTTATTATTTTTCAAGAAGATCAAGAAACTCAGGGGAAACAATCCTGGATTATGTTCAAGTAAGAACAATGGTCAGGTTATGGTGGTTCGAGATCGACAAAAGAAACATAAACTCCTGATCTGCACAAACGACGATGGAATTTTTGGATGGAGAACATTGGATGGTATAAATTTTATATATACAATATTATGAATCAAACTGGAATCATCTCGTTCACAACATTTATAACTAAATCTTAACGTATGTTTACGAGTAATACACTATATTGCTTATACAAAATATAAAAATAAGTTTTATTAAATATATTTATTAGCTGAAGTTATGCAGCTTCACTAGTATTTTAACTGTCATAAAATTTAGTACCTTCATTATAGGATCTAGTCCAACAGGTGAATTTTTCAGTCCAGCCTACGACTGCACCAGCATATTGAACAAAGACCCGAAGGCTAAAGATGGTTTTTACTGGATCACACTTGGGTACAAAATACCAAGAAAAGTATGTACTTTACTTAAAATACACTAAATAAACAGTACAGATGCAAGTCCGACAGTTTGGTAACGATCACGGATAATTCAGTTCTTTTTAATTCGGATTTGTATAGTATAGCTACTTATGTCAATAAGTTGTCGGCAGAGTATAGAAGTATAGCTTTTCCTGATAGATTTTACTGAAGACGCCGGAATTTTGGGACAATTATGATAACATTTTGGATAGTATATTAAATATCATCCGGCCATAATTTTATAAAACGATTGTGATACAGCTGGAAAGTGTACCGAGTCAATCGAAAGCTTGTGTGAACTTCGACTTTACTGAAGTATGATGAAACATTAATATTTAAATTACATGCATTTATATATTGAAAGGTTTATTGTGACATGACTACCGACGGAGGGGGTTTCTATTTGGTTGGCCGCAAGAATACATCGATTACCTGGACTGTTCCTTCCAGCAACACTCCAGTTGAACCATTTGGCGATCCTCATTGGATAAGCTCATTGGGCAATGCACCAATCATTGATTTTAGAGTTCAAGTTTCAAGTCAGGAAAAATTTGAGGCAACAAAGGCACATTGGTATGTGGGAATTTTCCCATACCATCTATAATTAAATGAAAAATTATTGCATCTCGAATGCAAACTGAATGCAAACTCGAATATTTACAGGAAGAAATTAATATATTATTTATCTTACTATACTATATTTTATTTATCTCACTATCACTTATATAAGTTATATCGTTTTATACATTACTTATCGCAAACATTTCCCTGTAACATATTGTTAATAAGATCAGCAATATTTCAAGCACATATTTTTGATAATCTGCAGTGAAGTAAATTTGTATGAAAGGTTAAGTTGAGCTCGAAAAACATTTATACGTATTAAAAGTTATATATATTGCACTGATGGTAGTTTATACATATATTGTGATATTGATGTATAACTTCTATATGGTTTTCTTCATGCAGGTACTATAGACTTCGAAAACCACGAGCACTTAAGAATTTGATGATCATAAATAAAGGAGGATGTAAGAAATCGTCGCCAGGAATAGGAGACGTACAGTTTGTGAAAAATTTATTAACCGATACCGTCGTAACGCGAAACTTTCGTTGCTCGAAATTTGGCGTGGCTCATAACGCAAAGACACAATTTGGATGGGTGCGTAGTCTTAGACTTAGTTGTTGTTGCAAGTCAAATAAACGCGCATGCATTTTTAGTATTTTCGACGATCAAATCATCATCCGTATACTTTCAGTGTGTGAACTCACAATTCCTATTGCATGCATACAAACCTTCCGAAAGGTATAACCAAATTTTTTAGTTAATTTGAATACTTTGTTTTGGGATAGTTCACATCAATTCCTCTTTCCAGCACGTTGAGATTTTGAATGATGATTTAAGCAAAAAAATAAAGCACGGATTATTCTATATCAGGCTAGGATGAATTATTGCTTGCAAAGGCCATGTCGCTGGGGATTTGCTTTTCATCACAAATTTCCTCTTCAAACCGACTACTCTGGGGCATTCAGGTAAAACATTTTTTATACTTACATATGTGCGAATAGACCTTTACGTCACATTAATTACCTCACAACATTTTAACATCACAACGTTTTAAATTTAGAACCACCTTAAATGAAATGGATTTCAAGTTTCACTCTCACGAACCACGTACAAAGATGCAAAACATCCTTCTTCAACACATGCATGTAAAAGATTTTTATTTTGACCAATAAATTCTGGAAATAAGCCATAACATGAGAACGAGGCTCAGGGGCCAAGACCGCGAGCCTCGTTCCCGCGTTATGGCATACTTTCATACTTATTTGTGAAAATGAAAAATTCTTTTTCATGCATGTGTTGAAGAAGGATGTTTTGTATTTTTGCACATAGCCAAATTGTGAGAGTAAACTCGAATCCATCTAATTTACGGTGGTTCTAAATTTTAATGATAATGTTGTGTCGTATATAATTATCGAAAAGGTCTATTAAGAAGTCGGACTTTCAACAAATATATATAGTTGATAAATGATCTAATTTGATCTATTCCTTTTATATGAAGGGATGGTGCACGAAGCCCCTTTATTGCGCTTGCCTCTCCTTCAAAGTTTATGTCCTGGTTACGCCTAATGACTTGGATGTTTTTATAAGAGTTACATAGCAATGCGGTAGACAGCGCATTCAGTGCAAATCATACACCACTTATATATTATAATATTCCCCTTATTAAGTAAGTGTGCAATCGTGCATTGTTTGTTTTTATTACAATTTTACTTATGTATTCTTTACACAATTACACTCGCGTCTTGTTTTATAGCTACAGCACAAAGAACAGGATTTCCGGAATAAATTACGGAGCGACCGCTTTCATTGGTTGCGACAATGGCCAGGTTTGTCCATTTAACATTTCATGAAGCACTTCATTTCAATCTCTCTCAAAAGCAGCGTCTCTCATCTCATGATGTAAGACCACTAAGATGTAGCTAAAGTTCTTCTTTAACGATCGTCAAGTCAACACCGTAAAATGTGTATGTACTCACTTGCAAATCTGTAGTGTTTTACTGGAGAGTTTATAACCGAAATTGTTGTATAGGTGCTGTGTATTTTAAATGTGATTGGTTCATTCGTAGTCACATGAATATAAATAAATGCAATGTTTCCCGCCAGGGAAACAAGTGAAAAATTGTTGCCCGTTTCTTGTCATAACAAAGTAAAGTGGCTTTTTTTACATGAAATTGTTGTGTAACATGTATGTTTTTGTTCCTATATAACAAAACACTTAACTGTTAGTACAAAAACTCACTATCTCCCTCGGGATCATACATGAAGTGCATGTATATATTAAAAGCAGTATAGATATAGATTTTTTGCTCCCACTCTCCCTCTTAGTTCCCGATATATGTATAGTATTATTATGCACAACATATTCAGCTTTTTCAATTTCATACATTTGCACAGTGTTGCGGATGCTACGGACCAAAGAATGGAACGAAGAACTATTGCTTCAAAGAATGTGATTCACGAAAGTGGTGGAACAGTCCGAGAAACTGTATACACTTGGTTCTGGGTGAGATCTGTTCTTCCGACAAAACTGTGGACTAAATGCATGCATGGACTACAAAGTGATCGAAAATGGCGCTTCTGTGTGGTACAAACTTCTCGGTGGAAATGAATTACCAAAGAAGGTTTGTCGCTCAAATATAGCTACACATGCATGCAGTGTTAAGAGTCTGTCAAATCGATCGCGAAAATGTTATCATGCATCTAGTTGTTTACGATTTGTATATATGTTATTGACTGAGCGAGAGGTCCATACAGGAGGATACTGGTCGAGTTCTTTTTTCGCTTTGCTTTTCCTCCTGTACGGACCGAACAAGCTCAGTCAATAAACTATTTATTATATGACTAAAAACGGTTAAGAGAAACCTGGCCGGTCCGTACTGTTGGTTACCGACTGCTCATGCAGGAACCAATCAGAATGCTTGATTTTAGTTGATGGATCAATGAAATATTCTAGTCATATAATATTATGTTTTATTTAATATGTTAAAGTATGACAAAACATTATGATTTTCTCGCGTTAAATCAGCATGAATGATTTTGAATCCATTTAGTTTAGAATCCAGTTCTAGTCGAAGCTGCCGAATAATAGCGAGTGTTTGCAATTGGCTGTATGTGCATGCAAGTAACTATTCACTGCTGTAATGATTACTCATTACTGTCTTGTGCGTTTTCTTAATTAACAGGGACGCTGTGCGAAAGGCAAGGCTCTTTACTACGAAGGAGTAAGTTAGTTTATATTGTATCGAACTAAAGCCATGAGAAAGGCAGGTTATATATATGTAGTCCAAGTATATAGGGCCTAACTCAGAATATAATATTTACTTTTGTTTTTCTTAGATGTTGGTTGTTCCGGACAATGCAACAGCAAAGAAAATACCAAGTGTCGAAGGAATGATAGTGTACAGGAAAGACAACAACAAACTTTACGTTCAAGGCGATAATAAATTAAACGCGTTGGCTGAGGAAAAGAAGGTTGGGATGCTTTTTATGATATCCATGCATGCAGGAGCATATATAGCGCATGCACCTATAATTTGATACCTGAAGATACAGATAGCTATTTATATATATAGGCTGCATGAGCTAGTAGATGCATGTTTAGTGTTGCATGTTCCAATGGCATATTCATATATCACACACAATAAACATAAAATTAAACTACAAAAAACTGTAAATTTGGAAAATTATTTTTGATATTTTATCATTTAGTTAATGATGTTCAATTGAGAATTTCTACACAAATTTTGATTGTAGATAATCAAAATATTGGATAAAGATATTGCGAAATTGGAGAGTAAATTCGACAGTTTCAATAAAACCTTGAATAACAAAATACACTCACGTAAGTACATTAATACACTCACGTAAGTAAAGTGTTCAAGGCTGAAGGCAATAACTGTCGATGATTCCGGAAAATAACTACATAATTTTGTACAGAATTTCGTACCGTTTTCAAATTTTGCCGGTATATAGGGTGAACAGGGTCCAAATGCATATAATATTATTTGCTCTTAGGTTATATTTTGGCTTCCACAGTCCTGAATGGTCAACCTGAAAGTTTTCTTAAGCAGTTAAAAGCATGGTTTTCGTTTAATAATCTAAGATGCTGTTGGAGAGCTTCACTGGATGGCTGGGATTCTCATGTGTTTCATTCGCGATGTGACTATAGAGGGAAAACAATCACTTTGGTTAAAGTTGGGAATTACATCTTCGGTGGATACTCACCTTATTATTGGGGTGGTAAGTTCAGTATAAAAGAATGCTAATTCATATACATTAGGCATTTAGGCTATGTTATAATTACGATCGAGGTACTGGAACAAGGAAGGCACCTTGACAGGGTGGTTTTAGATGAATTTACGATATTTTAACTCCATCATTCCATATGGCATATTCTGATTTCTGCTTCCTGATCAGACATGAGTCGAGGAATGCTACTCGAGGACGTTGAACAGCGAAAGCACCGTAATTCAAAATTAATCTATATAGGTCAACACCCACAGTTGGAATTAGCCCAGCTTATATTAATATTCTTTACCATGGACTACCAAACCTCGCGGTAATCGGAACTTATCTGTAATTTTAGGGTCCAGTGGTAGTTACCGATCAAGCTCGAGCAGCTACGTTTTCTCCCTGCGCAACAAATACAACTTGAGTCCATTCAGATCAGACGTCTACAGATACAGCAGCAATGCAATTTACACAAACCCGTCATATGGACCAACGTTTGGTGGCGGACATGATATATATATCTCAAGCAATGCTAACAAGAACAGAAATTCATATTCAAATTTTGGTCACACCTACCGTCCTCCATCTGGCTACGGTTATGGCAACAGTAATACCAAAGCACTATTGGCTGGTAGTTACTATTTCACTCCCACTGAAGTTGAAGTTTATTATTATGTGTGACATTAGTTCAGCTAATTTTGCGTGTAATTAGCTTAAGAAAGTAATTGTAATCAAAGTGTTTGTAGTTTTTAGAAATAAAAGTTCTGGGCATTTTAATTTTATTCGGCGCTTCGTATTATTCTTTTAGAAGGTCATGCATAAGCATGATCGCGCAGTTTGAGTACGTGGTATACCAAGATGGCGGCTATGTAAAACCCTGTTAAAAGATGAAAGATGTAAAACCATGCAGACGATGCAGTTCTAACTTGTTAAAAACCCTGTTACTAAATTACGAAACAAAATTACGCGGTAGTAAAAAGCCTGATGTCATATCATGCGAATCATGCATAGTTTGTGTAAGTAATAGTTTTATAGGTACGTAATTTGTGAATTTAAAGTTCTTGATGCGGTCGCACGGAATATAAATGCTATTATATCAATCAATAACAATATATAACTGAGCGGTTTCAAATATTTGTGAGCATGCTTTGGATTAGATTATAAACTTATCATAGACCTGTAACAGACCTCTCAACCCCAGCAGACTAAAAACCTTGACATTTGATTTCTAGGAACACACAAAACCTGAATTTTTTAGAAAAAACCTGGAGGTTCACACAGTGATTGAAGTACTTAAAAAAACGTGTTACGCCATCAATTCAGCCATCCCAAATTATCCCTAAAATCCCTAAACGCATGTCCAAAGTATTTTTCATGGTTATATCCCTCGATATCCCCAGTTGCAATCAAATTGAACAGATTTACAGACACAGTACTCAGTGATTTACACGAAGTCGAAATTTTCCCGGCCACACAAGGCTGAACGACCTCGTGCGTAAAACTTGTCAAATGTTATCTATAATTTATATAACGTTTTCACTAAATTTGTTAGACGACAAGACTAAATTAAAACGAAATTGCTTCTGAGCCTTTATTACCGATTTACCGGGAGAGTATGAATGTTTACCGGGAGGCCGGGAGAATTAGCTTAATACCGGGAGTCTCCCGGACTTGAGAGGTCTGCTGTAATATTCGACCACATGCATTTATTCGACGGATGACGTTGATATTGACAATGCACTATGCTGTACGCGCTGCGATCTTTTTGAAACAGTATTATATGACGTCATATTATAAACTGAAGAATGCATTTAACAATCTTTTAAAATATAAGTACCGATCATGCCAAGGGGGCTGGCCAGTTGCTGTGAATATATTAAAGAGACTGGGTCCTGGTTCCTTTATAGCTGGTGAATTATATTGCAATGTGGTTTGTCGTTCGCATGCATTTAGAAACTTATTTCAAATTAGATTGGTATTCGAACAATATATAACAATTAGCCATTTTCCAATCGATCAGGACACTGGGTCTAGTCGCGAACCGCTGCATCTATGACTATGGACTGTTTGGAGGGACAGGAAATATAACTCTGAAATAATTTGTCCCTCCAAACAGTCCATAGGTGCTTTGCAGTTCGCGACAACACCCAGTACCCTGCTCGTTTGGAAAATGGCTAATTCACACATGTCCATGCACAAAACCTGCATGCAAATATGTCAGTTAATTAAGTATATTGAATTTGAATTTTTGCTAGTGAGATTAGTTTACGTCTAGACCTATATATATCCGTTATTGTATTATATGTCCAGTGTTCACCGGGGATTTTAATAACATTTAACTGCAACGAGTTTCAGTAACGATCTTTTGTATTCTATATCCCGGCTGTTATAATCCAGATTTTCCAGCAAATCGATAACTGTTAAATAAATCGAAAACTGTGAAGGAACAAATATGATTAAACTACTCTAAACAACAAGGAATAATTACGTGACAAGTTCGATATAGTCATTACAGTGTGAAAGGTGCCTGCATGTGCTGCTATACAGAGAGCGTTAATTGTTGGTAATAAGGGAAAATTAACGTACGTAGTGCAATAATCTTAGGTATATATTATAGTGGCCCCCCCTGAACGGTGTAAGCTGATTCATTGGTTGCTCTATTATCTATCTATTTTGCGGTTTAGATAATCGACACGTTACTCTTATATCTATCTACGTTATATTTTAGATAATCGACATGCTGGATAAGGACATTGCGCAATTAGAGAGCAAATTTGACCTGTTCAATCAAACCTTGGATGGAAGGATCCGTTTCGCGCATTCGCGAATGAAAAAATGCGGATGAAAAAATGCGGATAGGAAAATGCGGATGAGGGGATAAAATGCGGGTTTGAGGATAAAATGCGGATGAGGGGTTAAAATGCGGATGAGAGGATAAAATGCGGATCAAGGGATAGAATGCGGATGATGAGTAAAAATATGGCTGTGTGTCCAATTTGCGAATTTGTCTTATGATCGGAAGTATTCATGTGTTTTTTTTGGCACTAATTAAGGTTATTGTTCGGTTAATATTAATTTTTGCCGTTATACCGGAGAAACAAAAGTGAATATTGCCGGATGTCCGCCAAGGCTTTACAAACATAAAGGCTTTCAGCTCCGTTTCAGAGACGAAATATCTCGAAGTGAAATTTACAACCTTTGAAACGATTTTTATCTGATCTTCGTATCCGTTGAATAACCTTCAGCAGACAATCATAATGAAATTACATGCTCCGGCGATATTTCAAACTTATTTTACATTGGCTTGATAATGACTTTGAGAATACAAATTTACAAACTCGATACATACATGTACCAGGTGTATAAAAAATCCGAATTCGGCGGGCTAGTATTCAAGAACTATTTAATGTCTCAATCCATGAGCGAAATTGTTTCACATTCGGAAAGATCAATGACATGTTTTTGCTCATGGGGTAAAAATGAGAAAATACGAGGCTCAATAAAAATGTTGGTCAGAATCGCGCGTATTTTCCGGCACCTCTGAGGCCGAGCGTAATTAAAGCAGGGGATAACAATAGAAAAATCACAAACATGTCGCTGCTTGAATTTCAATGGTTTCAGTTAAAACTCGCAAAGGACGAAGGTAAAAATATGCAATTCTAAGTAAAATTTTGTATCCGCCTCATATAGCTTTTTGACCATTTGGTTTCAAAAACATATCATCCAATAGCTAAGAGCCTGATCTCTCCGAATGTGTAAAAATTTCGTTTATAGACTCAATGGTTCACTTACAATAGCGTGTTGAAATTTTTTGATACACTGCATGTATAACTGATAAAAATATAACTGATAAAAAGAGCACTTCCACATTCAGTGTATGTGTACATCTTAGTTTTTCTGAGCCGTGATCTCAGTAGCCGTGATAATTTCTCAGTGGATACTTCTCATGATTTCTATTGGTTCGCTCCAGGCCTTCAGTGACGCAACATCGCTGAAAACAGTTTTCGATCGACGAGAATTTCCTTTACAAAAGCTTGATCACAAAATACAACAAGCAATAATAATGCCGGGATGGAAATATAATGGCGTTTTCCGCCCACAATGAGATGGGCCAAAATGAGAGAATAGAAAAAGTTAGTTCTAAAACCTATTCACCGCGAACAGGCGACTCAGAATCGAAGGTTTGTATCTGGTTTTGTACTGGGACTCAGCCTGGAAAGCATACATGCACAAATCTATTATTCTGTATATACAAATAACAGAATAACTTGTTTCATGTCGGCCCGAAAACTCAGTACTCTTGCCGTGGACTTCGCGGATAATAGTGTCGAAAGAACGGCTGCTTTCTTTGGTAATGTTATTATGTATAAAAGCGAAAGTTTTATAAATATTGTTGTCTAAATTGTCTAGTTTATACCAAATCCTTCTGCTCAGCCATTTGTGCCGAAGTGGAACTTAAGTACACCAGAGAAATTGAACAGCTACTTGGCACAGGTAAACATTTATGGGTTTTATTGTGTTGTTTTGGTCTAATAAGAATAAATATATCACGATCTCAGAAATTTTGCTTCCAAATATTAAATCGCGTTTTACCTCGTTCACAGCTTCAGTTTGTTGTTTCACTGAGCATATTTAGAAAATATAGTCGTGTCTCCCAGCTTCTGTTTTGGGGTAAAGTATAATTAGTTTCTTCTCGTTAGAAATGTTATCACGTTTTACGTTAAATCTAATTTAGTTTGACGGGAACTTTCTGTTCGAAGTTTTACTACGGTATTAATGTAATATACACATTGTCTTGCATGCATTGAGAATCAGGGTTTTAAACTAGTAATTATTCAATATATTTAATTCGCAGCCATTTTACATGAAAATTCTTTCATACGAAGCAATATGTTAAAACCACTTTAATGGTCTGATAACTGAATATAATGAAATTTGATTTTATTGTTTACTGTTTACTATTTAATGGCAGTCAATGTCATGGTGTTATCTGATATAATCCTTTGTATAATTTACCCTAGAGGTTGTAAGACTTTGTTTACATAGTATATGTTCTTGTTATGTCTTTTTCAAGTTACTTTACACATGGCAATTTGTTTGTACACTTTATATATAGGTATTTTATGTCACCATGAAACAGCTGTGCATGTCTCAAATTAACACTTACCAAATACTCTAGTAACTCACTTGAAAGAGCATAGTATGTAAATAACTTTGATACCATACATAGTAAAGGGTAAATTTAGCCAGAAAACGGGAGTAAGAGCAATTGAACTTTGCATTCAGTTGTAATATTTTAGGGCTATATGTATTAATTAATTGTGCTTTTCAGGAATGTTTCAGCAAATTAGTTGTCTTTATAAAGTCGTGGATACCAATATTTGACCCATGATCGTGTAGGCTTAGGTATCAAACTTTCAAATCATATGTTCCAATTTTTGTGTTTCCAAAGAAAACTATTGATCTCAAATTATCCTCATGAGTATCTTTTGAGGCATGCAATATGCTATATATATCCTATATAGGATTACAATTTGCAGATACTTTATACAATATACCTGAAATGCCTATTGTACGGTGTCACTGCCTGGCTATCTTAATCCTTGGGGGGAAAGATCATTTCTTAAATTCAAGTCTGATTGATACTACCATCAATTTGAAATATGCATGGATATTTGTTATTAGGAAAATCTATATATACTATTACTAATCCTTTTTGTTCCATCCACACATATCCTGTGTTCTTATTTTTGAAATGAAGCCTGTCAGTATTATAAAAGCACCTGCCTATTTTTGTCTTAATAGTTATTCAGTAAATGCCCTCTAATTTGTGAATCACATTTAGCGCAGTAAAAGTATGCAATGTGGTGCAAATTCATTTTATCTTTGCTTTGTTTTCCATTATTTTTCTTCCTCGTATATATTTCACACTCTTATTTTAGGTGATTTTTTTTGACAAAACATTGCACACAGTCATGTTGTTAACTGTCAATTTTATATTTTAAATCTAAATTTACCTTATGTATTATTTTATGCCTTGTGTGATTCTTATTGTGAACATGAAAGACTTGTATGCTCTTTCTATTGCAACCTTCTCTTTCTTTGTAATGGTTATTGATTTTTGAAATTGTTCATTTGAAAAAAGAATGCAGATGTTAAAACAAGTGAGCAAGAAATCACAGAGAATCTTGCTGACGTCCAAATTATGGATGAAAAAATAGTGAATGGCGAGAGTGTATATGGTCCTGCTGGTCCTCCGTCACAACACATTGCATTACACCTGCTTTCCAAGGTTCTTGATGATGAGACCATTTTTAACCTTGAAGAAAGCAACACTTCTTCAGCTGAAACATTCTTACCACTCACAGTCGACCCTACAAGGTGCGTCTCAATACTATTTTTTTATTTATTCACATTTTTTAATATACTATAATGGTTTTCTCCTGAAAATTCAGTACACCATAAATTTTCAACAGAACAGTTCAGGGAAAAGGGGCAACCATTACCTACTACATACACAAGCCTCATTAAAAATGTTCTGCAATTGTTTATTATATTACTTTTGTGTCATCCAGGCCTAGCGAATCCTCCCTATCTTGGCCATCTCCAAGTCCTCAACCATCACCAGATTATACCTCTAAGCCTGAACATCAATCTTCGTCATTTCCCGGTGAGCATATTTGGCAAAACAACGCTGATGTAAACCACAACAATTCCTTAAACACCCCAATTACCTCCCCGAGTCCCGTACCACCACATGGCTGGGTCATCCAATCTCCCTCATCATCTCCCGTGGCGTATTTGGGAAGAAGCGAAAATGGCACTCCTTTCATCAACGGTTATGAAAGCCTTCCTTCACCGCAAATGTCATCCTCGGTTGAAAGTCTTGGAAACGGTAGCTTCTTCAATCCGCAGTACTGCTCGCCCACCGTTCATGACGATTGGACGCATTTGAGCGACTCCGAAAACGCTCGTCGTGGTGAGCTCGTAGATCAGGGAGGATCGTTTGACTTCAGCAGGGTATCGCCAGCGCATCCATCTGTAGGTCTGGTGTGTCTCAGTGGTTCATGGCCACAGAATGGACAGTTGGGTAGCGGCTATGAAAAGGGAGAGGGTGAGACGCAACAGCTCAAGAACGGATACTGCACCTCGTGGAAAGGATGCGAAATGACGGATTACCAGGGCAAGCCTATACCCTTTCAAAGATCCATTTCCTGTAAATCCGACGATGATTCGTGGATAGGTCGTGGGAAGGAAAGTCTCACGGGTTCCTCGTATCCGAAACACAATCCAAGCAATGAACTCCACATAAGGATCGATCAGTGTTATGAACAACTCAGGCATCTTGAAAAGGAACGCCGCAAGGTATGTTCAAGTTTGTTTTTAGGCGCAGTGGTTAATAATTCTAAATGTTATTACCTAAAAATGCTATATTCACGAGCGATTTTCACGCCGAGAAATGTAATCTTAAGTATGATTATAAATAAGAGCCCAGTGCCATTGTAGTAACTTGGGTAAATTCGACTTACAGCTCCCAACTAAGGACAACTTTAGGCTAATAGTAAATTACAATGGCAAGGGTTGCAGGTGAATTAAGTATGATTAAATTAGAGCCCAGCATCATTGTAGTAACTTGGGTAAGGCCATCATTGTAGTAACTTGGGTAAGGTCAACTTACAGCTCACAACTAAAGACAACTTTAGGCTAATAGTAAATTACAATGGCATGGGTTGCAAATGAACAAGAAAAAGAAATTGGGAAGCGGGGGTGGCTTTCGGAAAGTTAGAGTAAAGAAAGAGGACAGCAGTAGAACTGCCCTTAGTGCCCTGTTCACTTGAGAAAGACTTCAGTTTTTAGCTAAATAAAGAAAAAAATCGCGATAATAATGTTCTTCAAACTTTGAAATCGACAGTTATTAAAAGAGCTGTGGCCAGTTGCTTTGAAGGCGGATGGATGCTGTTTTTAAATTAAGGACGATAAACAGATTTGTGTTTATATTCAGTTTAAATTATCCTGTAACCTGCCATTGTTGTCACGTACAGTTCATACGATTGTGTGTTTGCTTATCAAACCGTTGAACAAAGTTTATCATTTTCAGGCGGAAGTTGATATCAGCAAATTCTGGCCAACAAGAAGAGTTTCATCAGGTTGTGTCAACGTATCCACTGGGCGATTACATCACAGTCCATCCCGTGTCGACAAACTTTTAATTGATGTACAAAAGGAACATGCAAAGGTACAACCACACCTTCAATAATAAATGTTGGCAAATATGGATGGGGTGATTGGGGTATAAACTGTATCTTTCAGAGTTTCCCCGTAACCTGTTCAGTGTGTATTTTAGTAGTGCAGAAAACTAGATGCACATTTCAGCCATGTGCACCTTCTGATGGTAATTAATAACAATTTCCCTTTCATCAACAAATCGACAACTTCTATATATGACATCAACAATTTTAAAGGTATTCAGTCACCTGAAATATTTTGTTGCAATTCACCAATCTTTAAAAATGCGTTTATTTAGGTCGAAGCTCTTGTTGGAAGAATCGAGCGTATCAGACATTCTCCTTTAAACATAAATATAAGTGAAAGTGTGGATGATATGATGGCGTGTATACGTCGGTTGCAGTCGTCTCGTAAGGATGAGATCAATGTAGCTACTGGAAGGCATAAGAGTGTGACTGGTATGCGCTCGCCTGATGGAAGAGGTGAGAGTTCTTCTCATGCTTAATCCTGTACCTAATACAAAAATGCCATAACTCAATTTAAGGACTAGTATATTCATGGTAGACATGGCAAACTGGTAAAATGAGGTGTCTATACATGTAGCTATATAGACTGGGGTGTTCGTGATAGACTTGAGGTTCATCTGTACATATTGATAATCATGATATATTGGGGTTTTTATGAGTCTGGGTGCTCATGCATAGTAAGTTCAGGATGATGGACTAGGGTGCTCATGCTAGCTTGAGAAATTGATAACCTGAGCAATACATGATAAACTGATGTGTTCACATACATGCATGTGGTAGCCTAAGGTATTCGCGATGGCTAAGGTACATGTATTCTCCTTAATTTTCATGTAGACATCATCTCTCTTATTTCGTCCGTGCGAGATCTATCTGTGAAAACCCGTGGCTGTCGAACCGCAGTGTGGTGTGCTTCTCAACTGGTTCTTAACGAAATGATGAAAACAACAGTTGTTACCCAAAGATCTCGTCGTTCGAGCAGTACCAGCGAGGGTGGGATCGAATCATCCCCAAGTTCAGCCAATGGCGGGGTTTCCTAGGCGTATTTTTTTTGGTATTGCCTACAAACAGGCGTGTTTTTAGTGGCAATGTTGTGTACACGTGGTTTCTTACACTTCGCCGGTCCGTGGTCATTATTTCAATGTGAAAACCTGGAAACAGCTGGCAGTGTTTAGTATGCTCTTATTGAATGTACACAATTTCAACATCTGTGCAGTTTGTGAAATGCTGGTCCTGTTTGCCAACATGCAGATTAGGTTTTAGCGACCTTTCATTGGCCATTGGTATTAGACGAGTTAGGACACACGAAGACATAATGTTTGGTCGAAGTTGTTATTGATTGTAAAAATTTGAAGACATTCCTATGCGTGGAAAGAATTTACGTACTAAAGTATATTTGCTTATATTGATGGACTGTCTCAGAAGTTTTGGGTTTAGGGAATTAATGTTGCAAGGTATTGGTAGAAGGTGACCGGTGAATTCTGGGTCATAATGCTGCAAGTTTTCAAAGGAACATGGTTGTTTTGTTGCTGTGTGGTGTAACAGCTTCTGTATTTTTCTTCTATAACCAAGAATAATTAAGTTCATGACACGGAATTGTCAACGAACAAGGCATATGCAAACATTAGGGTTTCACCCGTACCATAAATAATTTAGCACGTTGATGCATTTTAAGTTGACAACTTAATAAAATTGTATTCATCACAGCGTTTCAATTTTTATGGTATTCTTCGTCGAAAGAAGTTTCAGATAAAATATGCATATTGCTTCATTAGATTCGTTCTAGCATCGCACACGTTTAAGGTTTGCCGAAAAAATCTCTATGGATTAAAAGCCCTACGAAAAGGAAAGCAGTTTAACGTTCTTTAATCATAATTTACGCGCAATGCTGTCGTTGCTGTCATGCTTAACATATATATACGCTACAAAGTATACGTAGTATCGGGGTTGATACACCCTGTATAATTGGGCCAATGAATTCTCGATAATTTTCGCGCGATTATATTTTTATTCAGAGCTGTCAATTGCAACCAGCTAGAATGAATTGCCAAAACACAAAAGAATAAAGTCTCTTCGCGCAAAAAATATCGCAAGTGGAAAACCAGCTTAACACCGGGTATGCTATTCTCTTCTCCCCCCCCTGGAAGATTCCGACCGAAGGGGCTTGGGTATGATTTATGAAATATGATAATTTTAGTAATAGAAACGCAAACACTTTCACAAGTGTCGTGCAAATGTAACTGGATCCAGTGGAGCATAACAGTTTTGCAAGTGATGCTACTCCAGCCATTATATTAATCTCATAAACACATTAAGGTGAACCATATACATGGCAAATTTATTTATACGTACCAAAAACACCCTAAAAATCACACTGTAAAATAGACAAGAATATCTATAATTATTAATGCAAATCTAAAATTTAGCCTACGGCCATCTACGTAGCTAGTGAATTGCAAGTCAGGAGAGCACAACCTCAAATACCAATTTGAAACGTTATTAATGCCATCATCGGCTTTGTACTCAGCCAAACCAAGTATTCATTTAAACACGTTAGCATATCGTTGAACCCATGCGGCTATATTGGTTGGTTGTTTTCCTGTGATAGCCGTGAAATCACTATCATTATCTCCCTTCTCGTATTCACCAGCATTTACTGCTTTCCAGTACTCAATCAAGCCATCAATTTGCTGCTCAGAAACAGCTCCCATCTGTAACCACGCTGCTTTGGCTTCCTCGTACGATTGCTGGGTGTACGTGATGTCTTTACCAAGGGCATCGCTGAACGCTTTCACGATGTCATGGAACGTGTGTCTGTCGCTTACCATACTGTATTCCTCGTGTGCGTTCCTTTTAGAAGCAGTGGCCATAAGGGTTGCTGCGGCTAACCTAGGTCATCCATACAAACGGTGGGAAAACGTTTGCTTGGGTCTATACTGTCATAGATCGCTGAGAATTTCTGTATGGTATCTTTGAAGCCAAAAAAGTTGTCCATGAACCAGGGTAAGCGAAGGATTGTATAGTTTGGACCAAGATTGGTTATGATATTCTCAATCTCCCGCATTTGTCTAGTAAGTGCCAAGTTAGGTTTACCAAACGCTCCTATGGTGAGAATATGCTTCACTCGTGCATCTCTTGCAGCCTCGGCTGTTATACGTGTCAACTCCACGCGATCAGGAGCTCCTGGAACAACAATAAACAATACGTCGACTCCTTGAAAGATTTCAACGAGCTCATCGCGTTTCCCCATCTCAGCTCGCACGACCGTAACTGAAAGAAGGGAATCCAAGTCGGACGCTTTCTCGGGATTTCGTACACCAGCTCGAATGTCAAGAGACCCTCCGTGGTTTGCAGAGAGGGCCTTCACCGTGGCTTTACCGACATTACCACTAGCGCCGATCACAAATACTGTACGCACCGACATATTCACCAAGGAAAGTCTCCAGAACTATTGCCGCAGGTGTTGCGTTGTGTTGCTAGTTATTTACAATGCTAAAATGCTCATGTTCACTGCTACTTAAAGAGATAAGCAGGAACTACAGTAATATAAGCATTTGATTAATTGAACGTCACCAGTATACTGACGTCATTATGACGTATGTAGCACAGCCTTGCCTAGCTCTGTCATGCAAGCACACCATGACAGTGCAACAATAAATTGTACTGGGGTCTAATTCAAGCTTTCCTTTGTGCTTCATGTTACGGCATTCAAATAATGACACAGCGTTTATTGTTTAATTTATCATTTATTATACTGGTCTTGACCCATTTTACACGGTACCAGTCAAATTTGCGTGACTCATTACTGGCATGAATTTGTGCAAAATGAAATATTTTGGGGTGTAACGCCAGGTTTTGTTTGTGTTTAATATTATATGCATTTGCTAAATTGGCACAGGACTCGTCGCTTGATCATGATTGTTTTGAGTACCGGTCTGATTTCTGAACCCTTCCACCCGGCAAAAGACAGCTAATGAATTTGTGATTTTGGTTGTGTCATTATGATGCTTGCTCAACTAGTATCTGTATTTATTTTTTGCATCTTTATCCATAATAAGGGTCGATTTTAAGTTCTCTTTAATAGGATGCCGCACAGACGTCATAAAACATCTTACTGTAATATGGATAGCTTGCCATCACGCAATGCCGAAGTTGTTTCGTCAAACCAAATGCATTCCTCCATCCCTATTGTTTTCTTGCTATCTCGATCATCGTGAATGCATATATTTAATAATTGGTTTGGGTGACATTTATCATGGAGGTTACATACTAGCAAATAGAAGTTTAACATGCGTGTGGTGATTAAGGCCGGAGAGGGTTCTAGACTGCTGTGGGAGGCCGGTACCAAACGGAGGAATAGAATTTTGAGTAATTATATAATTTCTATGCAGAAACTCTTTCGTTTTCCAGTCAATGAGTACGATGATGGTGAACGTCACGTGAACGTCAAAAGGACGTGAAAATGACGAATACCAGTAGCATCCCTGGCATATCCATATTGTGTCATATATTGACGCAGCACGCCATTTACTCCGTATTTTCACGTCCTCTTTGACGTTCACGGCACCCCACAGACATTGCTGGATACGGCGCAGGATGCGTAGCACATTGCGCTCCGACTAGCCTGAACACACAAAACAGACCTACGTTACTATTAATGTTAAGTGTGTGTTCAGGGCTACTACTCTCCGACAGACGACTAATCTCGGTTTGTGTAAGACATTGTTATTAGCCGATCGGCCATTTTTAGTACAAAAACATTAATAGTAAAATTTGAAATCAAGATTCATTAGTTCATGACGTTTCAATAATAGTACCAATCAGGGCGAAGTAAAACACCTTGCTTTGCGGTGTTTTACCTGCCAATCAACCCATCAACTCAACCATGGGAACGAGGATGCGTTTGGTCGGGCCAAGCTGAAACGTCATGTAAAATATAGCGAAAGGGGGGAATGGCGCACTGCGCTAAAAAATCTCGCTAAAGGGCTTCGTTCTTGTGACTTGTTTTAAGCACAATTAGATCATTATGCCCCGTTTTACAGTAGCTAGAAGACGTCCATATGCTGCAGGCGTTGTTGCTGCGTTTGGCTTGGTATGGTTAACATGCAAGGATCAATTTTATCACAGTAACTCGTACAGCAATTTGTTGTGGCACTACCTGGTGCCAAGTTTCCTCAAATCTAGCAGTAGTCCTAGCCTACCGTGGAAGAATTCTAGAGATCCTCAGACATCTCGAAAGCTACCTCACGTGGAGATAAGGAGAAACGAGAAGTTTATTCCTGTGAATTCTGGTGTTGTTTCTCACTATGAAAGCAACAATTTGCCATCCAATGATCCCATGGAGGATAGAAATGGAGAGTACCGTGTTTCAGATGGTTTAATTTTTGGTGTCTTTGATGGGCACAGCGGCTGGCAATGTGCTGAAGAAGTCATGAACAGATTACCATATTATACTGCGCTTTCACTTCAATCTGAAAATGTGCTTGACAAAACGTTTTCTAGGGTGAACCATTTAGACAAAAATCTAGCGTCAAGTAAAAATGTGAAGGACATCCTTGGGCCAAAGGCACACATATTTCTAGAAACGGTGAACTCTGTCAATCAAACTGTTGAACAGCAGTTGAAAAATGCATATACCTTACTCGATGAGGATATTGTCTATGAAGCGTTGCCTGAGGTTAACGGTTATGACAATGAGAAAATTATGAAGGGTTTATCTGGTGCTTGTGCTTTAACAGCTTACATTCACAATAATGATTTGTATGTTTCTAATTCAGGTAAGATATGCTGTAGAAGAAAGTAAAAGGGAACTTTTATAGCTCTGGTGTAATATAAGAATGTGCTGTGCATCAGGGCAAAACTTCACATACAGTACTGCATGTAATACCTTAGTGAACTGACCGGGATAGATTCTATGTGGCTTATGCCAACCATTTTTAATGTGACAATGCCTTGCTTCTTAGTCCAATGTGCTAGATATTTTATTTGTCTAGTGCAGTGCTTCTAGAGAAATGCATTATTGCACTCTGTGTTAGCATGCACCCTGTGAGTGTCAGCAATGTATGTAAATTGATTTTTTCCTATACAAAATAAAAGCATGAAATGTAAATTTTTACACACAATTTCACTACTAGTTTGGATTTGGAGGAACTGCTAAGAAGGCAAAGGTCAATTAAATATAAAAAAGTTAAATACAGAATATAGTATATGTATATGACAGTTTAACGAGAAAAAAAGGTTCTTTAATGTATTTTATTCATATGATATATAGTAAATGTTAAATGTCTTATTGCCAGGAGATTGCCGTGCAGTTCTTGGGTCCAGGTCCCCTGATGGAAAATGGCTTGCAACTTCTTTGTCACTTGATCAAAATGCACAAAATAATGAAGAGGTTGAACGTATACGAATGGAGCATCCTGGAGAGGAATTAATCATTTGGAATGGCCGCTTGCTTGGGCATCTCATGCCGTTCAGGGCCTTTGGTGATGTCATATTTAAATGGAGTGCCCAGATGCATAAGGAATTTTTAAACAAAGTTTATGGCAGGGTTGTGATTCCTCCACAAGTGTATCGTACCCCACCGTACCTTACTGCTGAACCTGTCGTGGCACACCACACTTTAGAAAGTAAAGACAAGTTTCTAGTGATTGCTAGTGATGGTTTATGGGATATGATGAGTAGTGATGATGCTGTACAATATGTTGGCAATGTTTTGGACAGTGGCAATGTTTCAGGATATGACCAGGATGGAAGTGTGGTGCGATTCAATGCTGCTAGTCAGTTGATACAACAAGCATTAGGTGGAGATGATGAAGTTAAGGTGGCCAAATTACTTAATGCTCCAAAGCATGTTAGAAGAGCGGTAAGAGATGATATCACTGTCACTGTTGTATATTTTAAAAATCTTTAACTAGGAAATATTGTAATGTTGACTTGTTAACATTTCCAACGGGCTGTGTACCCACAGATGCCTATGTACCTACAAATTTGAACATTATTAGTTGGTAGCCAGCCTACATCATTGCTTCCTGTGTGACCCAGGACAGAAACCTGAATGTTTACAAGCCAACTTATGTAGCGCAAATGCAATAGTGATTATCATAACCATTTGAAATGGCTGTTGAATAGTGCTTACTGATAACCCTATTCTATTCATTAACCAATGTTTAAATAGTTGTTTTAAATGTTTTTGAGTTAAGCAATTTTTGCTTATATGATTAGTTTTTTTGGTCACAATTCTAAAAAGCACAATGTTGTCGATACCGTGTAGTCTGATTGCCGAGTTCACATTACTTACCTTCTACACCAATTATTGGGAAATAGTCGTTAAAACCGAGATCTTTTTTTTTACTCTGCTTTCTTGTCACGAAAAATAACTTTATTTTTAAGAAAGGGCACTTTTTCTCTTTGCTAAAAAGTGTAAGTAAAAGTTTCGCAGCCTCTAGCTGTAAAGAAGTTGACACTAATATAAGTTGTAATGTTCTATAGCTTGCAACTATTTCACTTATATCCAGAGTAGGCAAACATATAGAAAATAGCCAGCCTACGATCTTTTCAATGTTATAAAAATATAAAACGTGGTACCCTATAGCTTCCTCGTCCCAATAGAAAAGCAGTGTAGAAGGACAAGAGTTTTTTAGTTTTGCACTGTGGTATCGCTGGTATGGGGTAACTAGTAAAAATATCCATGGGTTCATTTTTGTGACTAATTAATGTCATTTTTCCAATACTGGCTCTCATATTTCGCAATTATTGGCGATAGCTATTGTAGGCGGCGATCGCTCGCGAAATAAATGCTTTGTCACTTCCTTTGTAACCGACAATACATTATACATCGCTCCAATATCGGTGACAAAAACTAGGGCTAATGAATGGCGGGAACTGAAAACAACTTTTTACGGTCTTTAGCCTTTGGCTATTAACTTAATTTAATCGAATGTCAATTTATCATTCTACAATTATACTAGAACATACAATACATTTCTATATAACTGGTTCGCTTCCCCAGCAGACTGTGTGCATCCAATTAAAACGATACATATATTAGCTATTTAACTCTATCATGTCAGAACGCGCTTGCAAACTTATAGTTGTTTCAAAACAGGGATTATCTTTATACTTCAGGGTGTGAAGATGTCGCACCTAAGGTCCTGATTGAATCGACTTTAGAATTTGTTGGATGGCTTCTAAACACGGAATACAATTGCAAGTTAAACACTGTGAAGTCAGTTAAAAATATCGCTGAATGATAGCATTAAAAACTAACGTCTTAGCTTTCACGATCCGGCATTATTTAAAATTGTTACGATAAGTGGAAGTCTTTATAATTATGTACTTGTTAAAACATTGCAGTCCAGATTATGACCGCGCAGCGATGCATTCTGAGGCAAAATATTCTGATTCTTCATTTGTGCATGTATGTACAACTCAATCTAAAATCGGTCTGTACGTCGTTTTGAATGATGCAATGCTGCAGGAACTTTGTGCATCTGACATGGCAGACATGCTAGAAAACACTAGGATGTCTTCAGTCGTGTACAGGCTAAATTAAGGAATTATCTATAAGTAAGATAGATTTAACATTCTGTTCCTCAATTTTGCGACCTCAGGTTTTGTATGTAGCTTTAAAGAATTGCCATGTTTTGAGAGTTTTCGTGCCAGTCTTGTCAAACATGTCAACGCTGGAGTCTTCAAGACTTGTTGGCAAGAGATACTCGGGGTAGTACACAGTCAACGAGCGTTCAGGATGCAGTTTCAGACCCAAAACATCGGCCCAGATGAAGGAATGAAGACTGACTATCACCAAATCGAGACTCATGCCCTTGCCAAGGACAAAATTGATCAGACCACGCACGGACAAATCTCTACCCGTGTCGAAAACAAGGCGATTGTCATCATTGCCAAGGCTGTTCACCTCACCGCTGTAAATAATACGTACATGCGTGAAGCCAACTTTGGTAAACTTCTTTAGGTATTTGTCGATGGATCTTATCGCACAATCACTATCGGGAAAAGTGCCATAAAACATTTTTCTCGATTGCCTGAAGAAAGTTCTGATACTGTCACGATCTTTTTTCCATATTTTCCTGGTGTATCGTCCCGACGTGGATCCGATGAATAGTGTCGGCAGACGAGTTTTCTCCGGGGAAACAGGTCCCTCTTCCTGCGGAAGGATATCTCGCTTTGGTACCCTCTGTGTAAGGCTACTACTTATCGGGGCTTGAGCTGTAGAAGGACGATCCATATTTTTTCTCTTCACTGTGTACAAAGATGATGAGTTTGTATCCTGGAAACGGATCCAGCTGTTTTCACCTGCCTCCGAAGGTC